GTGCATGAGCGCTTAAAGTGAACAGCCCAAGTATTGTACAAATTTATGAGATACTCGTGTGTGTGTGTGTGTGTGTGTATGTGTGTGTGCGTGTGCGCGCGTGGGGTGTGTGTGTGTGTGTGTGTGTGTGTGTGTGTGTTGTGCATGCAACCATAATCCTTGTTCAATCTAGTTTTCATCCATTTTTCAGTTTCTATCTTAAACTTATTTTCCGTTAGCAAGAAGAAGCATCTTAGTTCTCAAGAAAAGAAAATATATAATATAATAACATCGTTAAAAAAAGTAGTCCTACGCTTTAATTTGCGAAAAAATAATTTAGCACAAAGATTGCACAAAGCAGAAAAACTTTTAAATAAGAAATCATTTGCTACTATAGATGAGATGCCAAGATCTACTAAGGATGTTTTTATATCGTATTTAAGATATATGAACAGAAATAGGTATAAAAGAGAATATACATTAGAGGATAAGATATTAGCATTGTTGCTTTATAAAAAGAGCCCTAAAGCTTATAGATATATGGCACAAATATTTTATTTACCTAGTAAAAAAACATTAAGAAAAGTGGTTCAAAATATTACGTTAAAACCAGGAATTTCTGATGTAATTTTTGATGAAATACAAGCTCGTGTTGAGTCATTTATTGATGATAGATATAAATATTGCATACTACTTTTTGATGAAATGAAACTGGATGTTTCATTGACATATAACTCAGCTGTAGATTTAGTGGAAGGTTATAGAAATATCATACTAAGAATCATTGATAATTACTTATTTTATCCAGTATTAAAAATACTGGATAATAAGTAATTATCAATAATTCTTAGTGTGATATTTCTATAAGGGTTGATGATGGTGATGAAAGAAAAATCGAAATAGCTGATTATGTGCAAGTGTGGATGCTAAAAGGAATTTATGGTACTAAACCATGGAAACAACCAATTGTATTCTCATTTTGTAAAGATTGTACACCTTCTGATAATATTGTATGTATATTTAAAACTATTGTAGCAAAGGCCCAAGATGCAGGATTACAAATTATAGCTTCGGTATGTGATCAAGGTATTAATAACGTAAAAGCTATACGGCAAATGATTTTTCACTCCAAACAAGAAGCAATAGATAATAATTTAACTGTAGAGCATGATGTTATAATTATAAGGGATCAGCAAATTATCCCACTATACAATCCACCACATTTGTTAAAGTGCATACGCAATAATTTATTAACAAAAGATTTATTATACAAATTAAAAGATGGCAAAGAACGAACAGCAAAATGGTCTCATGTTGAGGATGCGTATGAAATCGATTGCAGCAATGGACATCTGCGAATAATGCGTAAATTAACAGATTATCATGTAATACCCAAAAAAATAAAAAAAAATGAAAGTCTCGTATTGTACACAAGTTTTTAGTAACACTGTATCAAGTGTCATGGCATTAATGAGTAAAAGTCAAAGCAAAAGTTTTATTTCTAACAAAACCATGCCATCTGAAGGTATAGAAACTGCTGAGTTGCTATATTTTTTTAATGAATTATTCGATACTGTCAATAGTACTATTAAAGTAAGTGACACTATACACGAGCAATTGTGGATTGATGCCATTTCTGTTTTCGAAAATATGGAATTTATTAAAAAAAGGCCTTATGATATAAAAAATCCAGAAGTCCTGAAAAATTGGATACATACATTAAAAGAGTTTAGACTATTAAATGAATATTTGTGTGACATTAAGTTTCAAACATTTATAACAAGAAACTTTAATCAAGATGCTCTTGAAAATTTCTTTGGACAAGCTCGATAGCATGGTGAACGAAATATCAACTCCAATTGTGGTATATTTCTAGGCTATTACAAAAGTTTGTTAATAAATACATTTACAGAAACGTCCGCATGTGGAAATTATGAACTTGATAACACTTCTGGATATTTATTAAACTTGAAAAAGCTTTTAAATTTAGTATTATCAAAACATGAAGATAAAAATAATGATGATATAATTGCAATAACATTGTTGAAGGAGATACCGACATTTGATAATATAGATCTCGATGTTGAAACACAAATATCAATGTCAATGTTTAAAAATATTAATTTCAAATATGAAAAAAATTGTAAAACGTGCCATGCAAATTTAAAAACTTTGCAACAAAATATATTTTTTAAGATTGGTATAGCAAAACTTAACAATATTACTTACCATTATTTGCCAGTGATTTCTCACTTAGTGCAATTTTATATGTATATTAAAAACATTGCAATGAATTATGTATATTTTGAGTTTTTAAAATGTGAACACGAAGCATCGCTGAAAGAATTAATTATACATAGATATACAGATAAAATCATAGCAAATTATTTTGCACATGTCAGAAAAATATTAAAAGGTACTTTATCTCCAAATAAAACTGATGACATACTTGTACAAGTTGCATATAAATATTTTATTAAATACAGCAAGAAAACTGTATAAACTTTGAAATGTTAAGCAT